CCTCAAGACCCATAAACACTACACCCTTGGTTATCTCAATGAATGAAAGGCTCGGTTATGTGAGCAGAGCTGTCTAGAGGCAGAGAAAACTGGGCAACTGCCAGGCAGCTGTGATGGCAGCTTCTCCCAGATCCTCTGATCTGTCTGTACAGAGACACACCCTGGAGTTCCAGGAGACTGCGTGAACTTGAACTACGGTGGAAATGACTAGAGGAGGGATAAACATGAGAATGACAGAGGCTGGCAGAAGCCTTCCCTACGTCCCTTCATAAGCACCGTCAGCCTTGGCCCCAGGTCAGAGCACTCAACAGGCCTTGCATGGGCCTTCTCCATGGAGGTCCAATGCAGACATGGCACACTGCAAATGAAGCCACTGTGTGCCCCCTGCCATCACCCCTCCCCAAACATCCCTAGCCCTGTCCACTGGCCCGCTCGGAGGCACACCGCCCATTCACCCCACTTAGAACCCGGGGTCACCCTTATCTCGTCCTGTTCCCCATGCCCTACACCCTTTCATTCAACTAAGGAATCAGGACCAAAGTGCAGGCCAAACCTGTACCTGGCAGGGAGACAGGCACAGGCAGACGAGCAGGGGGATCAACTTCCAGTTTTAACACTAAAAGCCCTGCCTTCCAGAAGACCTTTCTGTGCTGGGCAAAACAGGAGGGAATTCTGGAGCACAGGAATGGCTTCCTGAGATGGATGACACCCAGAGAAGAGAAGGGTCAGAGGAAGACCAGTGGTGTGCGGTGCTGGAGGGCAGCTTCTGGGTGGGGAAGGCAGGCATGGGCCAGGTCTCAGAGCGCTGTGTGTCAGCTTGACCGCCGTGTGTCAGTGACTCACAGACGTGAAATGCAGCCGGGCGTCACTTACTGACACTGTGGTCAACAACAGCATATGCAGTGGTGGTCTCTGAGGTTGAAGCTGAAGAATCCCCATCACCTATGATATCAAAGCTATCGTAACATCATGGCACAAGGCACGACTCACGTGTTTGCAGAATACTAGGGCCAACGACACGCTGCACTGTCAGCCACCTGAAAGTGTAGCTGACACGATGGCATAGAGTACAAAGCACTTGATGGTAGTAGCAGCAGTGTTAGTGGTTTAGGCACTTACTACACGGAACTTTACAGCGTCAGTGCGGACTGTAGTGCTGCGTACTGAAAAGACACCCACTGTGAAACAGAAAGCCATGCTACCCAGGCAGCCTCACACATCTCGTGTGTGCTGCACCTCCGACAGCATCATTTCCTCTGCACTTGATTGTTCAACATAACCTAGGAGCAATAGGCTACCTCTCTCTCTCGCTCTCGCTCTCTCTCTCCCTTGCTCTCTCTTTCTCTCTCAAACACACACACACACACACACACACACACACACACCAGTCTAGGTGTAAGCTACACCATCTAGTCTTGATGTTCACACAATGCCAAAATCGCCTAACGACGCATTTCTCAGGCGGCCCTATTGATAGTCTCCCTCTGATAATTCCACAGCACCGTGATATAACAGAGCCACCCAGCCATCACAGTGCACCTGGGCAGAATTGCCAAATAAGGACAGATCAAAACCTGAGAATGCCAGATTAACTGTGTAGAATACAATCATGCAGGTTTACCTAATCAACCCCTTGTACTCATTCCCACCCCCTTCTCCAACAAGTAACACCCACCCTGCTTCTGCTTTCTGAGGAAGGCAACCCCTCCACAGAACCCCTGCAGTTCTATGTCTCTAGTATCCAGGCTGGAATCACTTGTTCACCATGGGAGAAAAAAGCCGAAATCCCTCTGAAAACGCCAGCGCTCATGATAGCTCTAGTGGTGCTCTTTAATCATTAACGCTCTCAGCAGAGCCCCAGAGGTCAAAATGCACCTCCTGTCATCTACAAGGAAGTTGGGAGCTGACAAATACTACAGGTACAGTCATCCAACACCCAAAATACCAGGGGCTCTACATGCAGGACGCGGAGTTTGAACAAGGGTTCATAAGATCTTTGCTTAGTCCTCAGCTACAATGCAGAAAAATTAATTGCTGTCAACACTACCTTGGTTTCTTTTTTTATTTTTATTTATGTATTTATTTCAAAGGCAGAGAGACACAGGGAGAGTCAGACAGAGAGAGATCTCTCATCTGCTGGGTAACTCTCCAGATTCCCATAACAACCAGGCCTGGGCCGGGCTAAAGCCAGGAACCCAGACGGAATCCAGGTCTCCCACATGGGCGGCAGACCCACATACTTGAGCCATCATCTGCTGCCTCCCAGGGTGTGCATTATCTGCAACTGAAAGCAGAGCAAGGACTGGAACCCAGGCACTCGCAACGTGCTGTGCGGATTCCTGAGCGGCATCTGAACTGCTGCGCCAAATGCGTGCCCTCTGGCCTGATTCCTCGGGGTCACATCATGAGACTCATCGATCAAAGCCTAAGACTCAGGGACAGAGAGGAGTGAGCCAATTCTCCCGCCCCCACACCAGCAGGCAGAAGTCTTTCTACTAGGGATCTTTCTACTCCAACAAAGAAAAAAATAGGACGACTGTCCCTTGTAATAGTAGCCTTACTGTATCTTAGCTTGAACTTAAAACTTCACAAACCAAAATGACAGACAAAAATTCATAGGATAACAAAAGTTATTTCCAAAAAATTAACAACGGAATTATCACAAACCATCAGGCATAAATATAAGTGGGTCCATCCCTAAGGAATAATTGTGCTAAAGAAATAAAAATTACCATGGTTAAAAAAAAAGGTATTTGTATACTTTTCAAGTTGTAAAGTTAAATATTGATTTTTATAACAACTATGCAGAGTCTTACAGAATAGATTCTTTTTAAAATATTTATTTGAGAGACAAAGTGACAAGAAACAGAGTAAGGGCTCCCTGGTTCCTTTCCCCAAAGACCCCCAATAGCCACAGCTGGGTCAGACTAAGATCAGGAGCCTGGAACTCAACCCAAGTCTCCCACAGCAGCGGCAGAGACCCAAATGTTTCAGCCATCACCTGCTGCCTCTCAGGATACACATTAGCAGGAAGCAGGAATAGGAGAGGAGCCACGACTTGAACCCAGGGACTCCAAAATGGGATACAGGCACTTAACCTACATGGCCAAATGCATAACTAACTGTTGATTTAAATAATGCTTCTGCACACCTCAACCATATGTGTCAGCATATGTCACTCTTACCTGGGATCAACTCACCACAAACTTGTGTCATTTAAACCACATAATTTCCCAATGACTTTAACCCAAGAACCTCTTCCTACCTCATTAATCGATATCAAAAAGCACATTCATTTTTAGGTACACAGACAAAGAATGTGGTTCATCCATGAGTTTAAAAATGTTCTTGATACAGACTTTAACTGTGACATCATGAACAAAGCAATTCATAACTAATAAATAGCGAAATCTTCTTACACATTCCATCGCTGGTGTTGGAAGTAGGTTTAACCTCATCTCTCAATTTTTACTTTTGTGACATAATTGAGATAAAATTCCACAAAATGTATTATTTGAAAGTATACCATTAGTAAGAAGAAAAAAATGGTTTCACCTTATTTTGGAAGAAAAGTGGCTGTCAAAGAAATTCAAACTCAAAAATGAAAATGCCACTGATTTCTTTTCAGAGCCAATTATTTATTGTGACTGCTTTCAGAACAACATTAGAATAACTCAAATAAGACAAGTAAATTCCAAATTTATTTTTCATTTTTTGTACTCATTTGCTTGTTTGCTTACTTTAATCATACACAGCCCTCAATTCAACTGAAGTTATGGATATAAGAATTAACGAGATATTTTCTGTGACTTTTCCAATCCTTTCTAATTAACTTGACTTAGGAAGCCATTTAAATGCTTCAAGGGAGGGGTGGATTTTCAGCCAGGGATTTGCATAAAGGGGAGCAAATGAATAAGCTGCAACAAGTGTTGAGTGAGCACCTGCAGCCAGCTCCCCACAGGTGAGACTGAAGCCCTGTGTTTGGAGGTGGGCACACATGCAGCCACCCCAGCCCAACCCTGGAAGCTGGGTGTAGCCCCAAGGCACCTCCCACACCGCTTCCTCTACACGGAACCGCTGGTGCTGTGAGTGTGGGGGCCTGCAAGGAAGATCAGGTTTCTCCGGAAGCTTCTGCTACTGAAATCTGCAGGGGATTCTAGAAGCACCTCTGGGTTCAGGATGGATGGAGCAGAGTCTGTCCAGACAGGGCACACAGCACCTCCAGCTGCCAGGCCAAGTGCACAGCCTGTGCTCTCTATGCTTCTCAGAAACAGGACAAAAGTCAGATGCTGGCTGAAAATTTCCAACATATTATCTAGTCGCCAAAATTAGAACTTAAAAAAAAAATCTCCAAAGCCTCCAAAATCATGTAGTCTACCACTCATCAAAGTTCCTTTAATTCACTTCCCTAAACCAGTCTCCAAGTGTCTGTTTCACTCCTGTGGGTATGTTCAAGATACGGCGCTTTCACAGAATATGTTAATAGTATTATAAAATCTCTAAACAAGGATAAGCTAAAATCCAAAAGGCGTGAAATGGAGGTTCTGGTGGCTGATACACTCCGCCACACAACAAGCCACTGTCCTGTCCCCAGTGTGACTTACCATGAGGGCCCTCATCTGCCTGCTCAGATAGCTAAGTTCTGCCTGAGGACTGTAAAGATTCTTGATGTGTGCCCTGGGATGAGGAGAGCCTGCCAAGGCAGGTGCGAGGGCTACAAGAACACACCTTCCTGCTGCCTCTGTCAGCTCTGTTTGAAAAAGGCAATCATCCCTGAGAAACGCTTCTATGAAATGCTCCTAGTGATAAGCTCTGGAGTGGAATTAAACATACTGCTGTTTAAAGGGGGGGGGGGGGGACGCCACACAAGGCAAGGTGGACTGTCAGTCCTGGGGTGACAAGTCAGCAGAGGAGGAGTCTGCTGTAAAGTGCATAAAAGGTCAGCTCAGCACCTGCCGGGAGACAGACTCTGCTCCAGCCTTCCTGAAGCCTCCGGTGCCCTCCTGGTCTCCCCAATGGATTCCAGTCGCAGAAGCTTCCACAGAAGCCTGAGCTCCTCCTCACAGGGCCCTGCACTCATCATGAGCAGCTCCATATACAGGAAGGGGGGCCTGCAGCCCCTTGTGGCTGCACCCAGTGTTTATGGGGGGGCTGGAGGCCACGGCACCCGGATCTCAACCTCCAGACAGTTGGCGAGCTATGGGAATGATCTCAGTGGTGGCAGGGATCTGTTTGCTGGCAATGAGAAAATGACCATGCAGAACCTAAACGACCGTCTAGCCAGCTACCTGGACAAAGTACGGTCCCTGGAGCAGTCCAACTCCAAACTCGAGGCACTGATCAAGCAGTGGTACGAAGCCAATGCACCCAGCGGCAGTCGTGACTTCAGTGCATACTACAAGCAAATGGAAGAGCTGCAGAACCAGGTGAGGTGCGGGGCCTGGAGAGCACTGTGGCAGGTGGAAGCAAGCAGACCCTGTAGAGCAGGTGCGGCTGGAACGCTGCCTCTGTAGAACAACCCTGAGTGCTGGGGCACCTACCTGCCCGAGTCGCTCTAAACCATACTGCTTTTAAATGTTTTAATCTAATTACATATAACACAGGAGCATTTTTCTTCCAGTCTTATATTGTCTATCTTTGTCACACTTTATTGTATCAGCTACAGGGATAGTAAACTTTTTTCCTGAAAAGAGCTATTTATATGTGATAATAAATTATTGTTCAGTTTCTCACCTCATCCCCATCAAGGTTTGAAACCCCAGTCAACTCAGAGACTTTTCTTCTTTCACTGATGTAATATAGGTATTAAAATACCAGAGTGCTCAGGGTAGGGACAGGGGGAAGGTGTACTTCTGAATAGTCCTTGGGTTTTTAAAATTCTCTGTTTAATCATCTGACCATCATCACCAAGCAGTTCAGAAAGTACTTCTGCATTAATAATCTATGGCCCCCAATTGGAATTTATTGCAATCATATCACAGCTGGCTCCCACATCACCCAAGAGGAAGCTGTGCATTTTATCAAGCGCATGAAATAAAAGCAGAAGACTTTGCTCCCTGCTGAAGATTTCCTATATGACACGGAGCACTTCCTTTACTTTCATTCTCTTATTTAATCAAGAAAATTCCCCTTTCATTTTCATTTCTATTTTAAGATTCATAACCCTTTAGAGCAAAGTTAGCCCCCAGCGAGTCTCCTGCTCTTGGGCTGTAGTGGCCATCAGTGTGATGAGTCAGACCCCACAGGAAGGCATTGTGGGATTCCAGGAACGAGGGGCACACAGAGTCGCAGGGCTTACAGTGCTTTCCTTCTCAGGCTCTCACCACAAACCAGTCAATCTCCCGTACCTATCTCTGACTCACGCTTCTGAGTCTACCCCGGGTCACCTCAGAGGCACAGGCACAGCTATCGGTTCCACACAGTGGGCAGACCCAGCATGGGAAGGCCCTTTGCAGGACCGCAGTCACAGAAAGAGGCCCGTAGCTGGAACCTCTTCTGATTCACTTGCGTCTGACAGAAGTCACTTCATTAAACACTTCTAAAGATCCAGGACTGGCGTTTGGCCCAGTGGTTAGAATGTCCATATCCCATACTGGAGTACCTGGACTTGACTTTGACCCTGGCTTCTGACTCCACCTTCCTCCTAATGCAGAGACCTTGGCAGGCACCAGATGATAGTTCAAGTAATTGGGTTCCTTCCACCTTCATGGGTCACCCGGATGGAGTTCTTGGCTCCCAGCCTCAGCCATCACAGGCATATGGGGAGTGAACCAGCGTATGGGATTCTCTCTCTCTCTCTCTCTCTCTCTCTGTGTGTGTGTGTGTGTGTGTGTGTGTGTCTGTCTCTCTGTCTCTCTCTGCATCCCTCCCTGCATCCCTCCTTCTCAAATAAGTAAATTGTAAAGTTTTTAGCCCAGGGCTTACCTGCCCTGATATCCCCAGTGCCTCATCATATAACAAACATTCATTCCTTCATTGAGCCAAAACTTAGTCAACACTAACCTGGTGCTAGGGAACTTGTGGTGAACAAAATGTGACTTAGGAGGAAACAGGCATGGACGAAGCAACTACACAGAGGATTAAGCACTGGCAAGAAGGGCTGTGTAGGGCAACAAGGGCACAAGCAGATGCCTCCACACCACACTGACTAAGCTGAGACAAGGAGGGGAAGCAGAGATTCTCCAGGTGATGGGGGCTAACGGGGGCGTTCTACGCAGGAACCACACCAAAGGCAAAGCCCTCGGTCAGATCTGATGACACAACAAGAATGAAAATCTCCCTTTGTAAGATCACAGGAAAGCAGACCCTACCCTGGGGACTGCAGTAGTATTTTGATTCAGGTACACTAAGTACCCACGTTATCATTCTTCCTGTCAATATTTTCACATGAAATTCTTGACCTGAACATCATTTTTACTAAACTTGTGACAGTAGTTGTATCTGAGGATAAATCCCATCATTTTTAACTCCTATCCAGTTGGAAACATCCTTCTTTCTCGTGTGTTTTCCAGATTAAGGATGCTCAGTCACAAAATTCCCAGCGTGTCCTGCAAATTGACAATGCTAAGCTGGCTGCTGAGGACTTCAGACTCAAGTAGGTTCCTGAATGCCATGGTGGAACTTTCCAGAAAAGAGTCCCTCTCAGTGGTGCTTCATGACACTCAGCTCCCCATATTATCCTTGCTGAATTTCCTTATTACGCTTCCAGAATCTTACCGCTTTGATGGTGTGGGAAGTACTCAGGGTCAGACTTTGCCCACAGTCCTAATATGGAGCCACCCAGAGGGTGACTGACCACTTCCAGGAATTGCTCATTTTCTCCTTGGTTTCCTCCCACTGGAACGTTTGTTCTTAGTAACCAGTAGTCCACCTCTTCACCCACTGGACCTAACTCTGCCCTTTGGAGTAATGACGAGGCAATTTACTACTGCCTTCTTCCTACGTGTCCATCTGTTATCTACAGAGAGCTACACGCCAGGGCAGACCAGGGAGACCCCAAGGGTCTCCACATAAATGGCCCACGTTCCAAGGGTGACTGCTGACATTTTCTTGTTTGTCTGTGTTCTACAACATGAGCTGACCAATCAAAGCGGCAGGACCTGTCTGTGGCTAACATACTTCAGACTGTGCTCACCTTCTGTGTGGTCCCCACGTCGTGTGTGCTCACAGCTGTTCCTCGATGGACTTCCTCATGCTGCACTTGTGCACGCAGTAACTCCAAAGTCCCCTTTACATGCTACGAGGGATTTAAAAAAGGGAAACGAGGAAGTATACGTGAGCGCTGAATCGGTGAAAGCTCATGCATCCACCTTTACCAAGTCAGCATCTGGGCCTCCACTGCATCACCATTTTTTATATTTTGCTGTTTTTAAAAAATGAGCATATATAAGTTTGCAGAGGAGACCATTTGGGATAATTTACTTTAGATGCATCTATCTACAAAAGTGATCAAAATACATTGATCAAGTTCACTTATTAAGTAAAGCTAACCACTATTTCATATCAATAACAGAACTCTTGGGGCCGGCACCGTGACTCACTTGGTTAATCCTCCGCCTACGGCGACAGCATCCCATGTGGGCGCCAGGTTCTGGTCCCGGTTGCTCCTCTTCCAGTCCAGCTCTCTGCTGTGGCCTGGGAGTGCAGTGGAGGATGACCCAAGTGCTTGGGCCCCTGTACCCGCATGGGAGACCAGGAGGAAGCACCTGGCTCCTGGCTTCAGATCAGTGCAACACCAGCTGTGGCAGCCATTTGGGGAGTGAACCAACAGAGGGAAGACCTTTCTCTCTGTCTCTGTCTCTTGCTGTCTATAATTCTGTCAAATAAAAAATAAATAACAGAACTCTTTAATAAAACAGCAATTAAAACAAATCTTTAAAATTTCTTTTAAAATATATTCTAGAATTGAGAAATTTATAAAAATTACATCAGGTCAACTTCTTATAAATCACTCCAAATCAGAGATTATGTGAAGGAGGAAATTGTCTGGTTCCTAGGTTCTCATACGCATTTCATGAGGGAGACTTTATGAAGCCCTGGAGTTGATCTCCACATAGACCATGTAAAATATATCTGCTTATTTCAGATTTCACAGACTCAGTTATCTTTGCATATGCATTAATTTTCAGGTTTGAGTCTGAGAGGGCGATACGCCTAGCGGTGGAGGCAGACCTTCAAGGCCTGGGTAAGGTTTTTGATGACCTAACCGTAAAAAGAACAAATCTGGAGGTTCAAGTTGAAGAACTGAATAACGACTTGGCTCTCCTCAAGAAAGAACATCAGGAGGTGAGAAAATACTCAGGTGTGGCATTGGGAATGATGGGAAGGCTTTACTAATGAGGAGGAGGAGACACAGAAGAAGAAGAGCTGCTGGTAGCGCTGGTGACGATGACACAACAGTGGATGACACAACAGTGGTGTCGGTTCTTATTTCTTGTCACAAGGTTGCTGCCCATTACATGACCTGGAGCAGTATGTGGACACAACCAGCCTTTCCTAAGTTATTACTTCCTTTCTTTCCCACTCATTCCCAGTGAACAAAATAATGAGACTTCTTATGCCTCTTCTGCCCAGCCTGCCGAGAATATGCTTCACATAAAACCCACCAGGATTTTCACTCTCCTAGGAAACCGATGCCCTACGCCGGCACCTGGGCAACACCGTCAATGTGGAGGTGGATGCAACTCCAGGCCTGAACCTTGGCGACATCATGAGTGAAATGAGACAGAAATACGAAATCATGGCCCAGAAGAACCTTCAAGAGGCCAAAGAACAGTTTGAGAGACAGGTACAGCATCGTCCTGAAGTGTGAGCAGGCTGTCCTCCACAGAGACACAACTCGTCCTTCCCTTCTCCTTCCTTCTCTCTTTCTTTTTTTCTTTCTTTCATTGCTTCTTTCCCTCTCTCCCTCTGTCCTGCCTTCCTTTCTCTCTTTCCTTCTCTCCTTACTCACTCATTCTGTTTTTTCCTTCCTGGGTTTTAGACTGAAGCTCTGCAGCAACAAGTCACAGTGGACACTCAGGAGTTAAAAGGAACCGAGGCCCAAGTGACGGAGCTGAAACGCACCTACCAGAGCCTGGAGATAGACCTCCGATCGCAGCTCAGTATGGTAAAGCATACCCACCTTCCGCTTCCCAAACCCCAGTGAGTTGACTAAGTGTCTGTGTTAGGGATTCTGGAGATGCAAAGACCTAGACAAAAGGAGCCATCTACTTGCGGAGCCCGTGGGAAAACAGGCTGAACCACTGACTCTAATCAAAAGACAGAAAGCAACCTAGGAAAGGGCACCATACCGCACAGAAGCAGAGGAAAGAGTAGATCTGGAAAAGCCCACAGTGTGGACAGCTTTCCATTTGAGATGAACCTTTAAGCTAGAAGTTAGGAGTAGAGATATTACAGGCTAAGCAAATCAGTCTGCCCACGGTAAATTATGCTGTGGTAACCAGCAGCCCTCAGAATCGTAACAGCAACAACACTGCACCCATCACAGGTCGGCTACAGCTCCACTCCATGACTTTCACTCCCCAGGGGCAAAGCTAAAGGAGCAGCCCCGCTCTGGGGCAGGCCAATGCTGTGGCAGAAAGAAAGAGAAATGGCCAAGACATGGGAGAGCCCTGCAAACTTCTCACAAAAGGCATTTCTCAGTTTCACCAGCATTTGCTTAGCCAAAGAAGTCATGTGACCAAGCCTGGTGTTGATGCGCTGAAGAAATCTAATCCAAACCGCCAATCCCAGGGCCAAGCCTGAGGGAGGGGGAGGGAACCTGGCCTGCTGATAGGGTGGGAAAGCAAACACTGAGGATGGTAACACAGTGCACCACACTGAGAACAGTGGGTGCCAAGCCAGAAACAAAGAAAAAAACCAAGAGCTGGTGATCCCAGCTGGCAGGCTGTGGTTGCCTAGCGAGAAAGTGGGAAGCAGAGCTATAAACACACGTGAGTCCCCCAGGCTCCAGCTGCAGAAGTACTCCTCAAAAAGAGTTTAAATTGAGCCACTTCTTACACCAAGTCCCTAAATAACAAAGCCCTCTTTTTCTTGTGCTCACAGAAAGAATCTCTGGAGCACACCCTAGAGGAGACCAAAGCTCGTTACGGTAACCAGCTGGCCACTATTCAGGGCCTGCTAAGCTCTCTGGAGGCCCAGCTGATGCAGGTTCGCAGTGACACAGAACGCCAGAACAATGAATACAACGCCCTTCTCGACATAAAGACTCGTCTTGAGCAGGAAATTGCTACTTACCGCCTGCTTCTGGAAGGAGAAGATGTAAAGTAAGGATCATTAACATGGGCTGTGTGTATCAATGTCTAGATACTGTCCTATTTTACTGTCCTTGCTACCCATGACCCAATGCAATCCCTAACACAAAAGCAATTATACACATACCACTCACAACAACAAAAGTACACCAAAAAGTACACACACACCCAAAACACCAAATATGGCCTTTGTACCTGAGGTTATGTGGTAGGGCTAAGTTAGAAGATGGCTATCCAAATGATACCAATTGTGTTAAGGCCAGTTTTTGTGATTAAAGTATAATTTAAAGCAAAGTTACTTTTTTGAAAAATTCTTATTCCAAGCTCACAAATTAAATAAGAGACCACAGAGGTCCACAGGAACCAGCTGGAGAATCGTGAGTATTGCTGAAGAAGCTGTCTCGCAAAGATCACACCCAAGAACAACAACAGGAGAACACAAAATTTAAACTTCCATTATGAATTTGCTATTTTAATTACAAAAACTTCTAGCATTTGTCAACCGGGTCAATTCTGAAGCTATTCATTTTTCAAGTTAAAAAGCAAGACACTCAAATAAGTCAGTTGCAATTAGAGTGGAGGGCAGGCATTTGGCACGGCAGTTACGATGCCACGTAGGACACCTGCACCCCATGCTGGAGGGCTGGATTTGAGTCCCAGCTCTGCTTCCAATTCCAGCTCCCTGCTAATGTGTACCCTGCGAGGCATCAGATGATGACTCAAGTACTCAGTCACTGCCATACACATGGGAGACCTGGATGGAGTTCTGAGCTCCTGGCTTCAGCCTGGCCAGTCCCAGCTGTTGTGGGCATTTGGAGTTGAACCAGTGAATGGAAGATCTCTCTCTCTCTCTCTCTCTCTCTCTCTCCCTCTCACCCTCTCACCCTCTCACTCTCTCACTCTCTCCGCCTGTTAAATACACAAAAATATTTTTTAAAAGAGTAAGACATTCAAGTTGTAAATAACAAGCATTACCAAAGGGAAAGAACATGAAAACCCACATCACTCACTTTGCTTTGAAACACAAAATGGCAATGTATTCCTTAGCTTCTTGTTGTTCTAACTAAACTACATGAGAGACGCTTCCTAAGAAGAAAGAAGGTTTGCTTCTGCTTCCTTTGGAGGTTCACAGCCCAAGACCAGGTGGCCCCTTAGGTGTAGGCATCTGGGGAGGCTGGAGGGTGGCAGAGAGTATCACATGGAGAGCAGGAAGCAGAGATGGAGGGCACACACATGGAGACTATCCCCAGGTGGGCTCTCCTGATAATGCCATCACAGGGCTCCTCTGTAGCAACTTGATCCAATCCAATCAGTTCCTGAAGGCCCCTCCCCCACCACAACCCACCAACCATTAACCCATTAACCATAAACTTAAGACTTTGGGGTTTGACATTAGGCATTAGTTTGGGGAAACCAAATCCCATTCAAACTGTAACAGACAATAACGCTTTTTTTTGTTTCTTTTTTTTTTTTTAAAGCAACCTGGAAGAGAGAGGTAAGATTTCCAAATTTTTGCACATTTTCTGTAACATTGGAATTTCAGTAGCCTTCTGTTAACTGTCACTGGAGGAAAGTAGGGTGGCCAGTTCTCAAGTGAGCAGATGAGACCCCAGGGATTCTGAAAGTCTCGCGCACAGCATTACAGTTTCATGGGGGAGTTCTGACAGGCTGCCCATAACAGGGCAGTGCTCTTGACCTGTGCTAATGCTGTCCTAAAGCTTCCTGAGACTCTGAAAAGAGAAAAAAAAATCAAACGTGGGAATTTTGCTTAATTCAAGATACCATATTTCTATGTAGGCACGGGAAATGAAGGAAATTTGCAAATTAGAGAAGAGGGGACCACTGGCTGCACTTGTTTATAAAACGAACTTCAGGCAGGCGCTGTAATAGGCTAATCCTCTGCCTGCAGCGCCGGCACACCAGGTTCTAGTCCTGGTCGGGGCGCCGATTCTGTCCTGGTTGCTCCTCTTCCAGGCCAGCTCTCTGCTGTGGCCAGGGAGTACAGTGGAGGATGGCCCAAGTGCTTGAGCCCTGCACCCCATGGGAGACCAGGAGAAGCACCTGGCTCCTGGCTTCAGATCAGCGCAGTGCGCCGGCCTCAGCGCGCCGGCTGCAGCGGCCATTGGAGGGTGAACCAACGGAAAAGGAAGACCTTTCTCTCTGTCTCTCTCTCACTGTCCACTCTGCCTGTAAAAAAAAAAAAAAAAAAAAAAAAAGAAGAACTTAAAATTGTTGAAGAAAGAAAATGAGTTCAACATTTTCTCCTAAAAGAAGGAAATGAGGACAAAAATAATCGTTTAAATTAGCATATTGTAAGTCAGCAGAGTCATGTCCCAAAGCTAACATTTAATGTGTAATGTGTATTCAGATAAAAAGAAAACCAGGAAGATCAAGACAGTTGTGGAAGAAGTAGTGGACGGCAAGGTTGTGTCATCTGAAATCAAAGAGGTGGAAGAATCCATCTGAACAGCTACCGGCAGGAGACGCTGCTGAGGCTTCCAGGGAAGTGCAGCTATAATTGTTGCTCCCTACAATAAAACGGCCACCCAGAAGCACTATTAACACCTTGGAGTAATCAGAAACGGCGGTGGGGGGGGGGGGGGTCCTATTTGTCAATCTCTGTAATTGAATATAAATGTTTCACTCAGAGGGGATGGAAATCGCCTACGAACATGAGATTTAATGAGCACTGGAATATTTAAAGTGTTGTTACTGTCATCTGCATTGTGAAATGTATTAGTTACAAGCTACAGACCACAAAAATCAATGTGTAGGTAACAGTGCTGAAAATTACAGTAGCTTTCAATTATGCTGAATCTGACAAAGCAGAGGAATCTATACCAATGGCAAATCAGCTTCTCTCTTCTCTTTTCCTGTTTCTAAATTGTAAAACCTCCCCTTGGGAGCCCCTGGAGTCTTCATGGAGCTGTTTCTGGTCAGTCCCACTGAAGTTTTAACATCCGTACAGTTCCACAATTCTGCAACCTTTGAGCCACGGCTGCTTTTTCCCACTGCCTCTACTGCCTTTTAAAACTCAAGTTGGTTCTGTGAATAATCTGAGTCAAATTCCAATCACAAATACCGAGCAGAATAAGAATGAAATCTGCCATGCTTGAAATGGGAGTAGATTAAAATCAAAACTACTGAAACGCTTCTCGAGGCAGAATGCATCTCCTTTCGACAATAAACTGTGTAAATCATCAGGTGCTCTCTTTCTTTACAGAGTAAGCACACATCATGAAACGTTTCCCGCCATTTTTTGTGACAGCTTTATTGAGAGGTAACGCGTACAATTCAGTGGTCTTCAGTGTGTTCTCAAGGTTGTGCAGCCATCGCCATTATCTAATTTTAGAACATTTGCGTCATCTCTGCCACCCAAAAAAAGCCCCCACACGTTAGCAGTCACCCCCAGCACCTCACCAACCTCACGGATCTCCCCCTCTCTATGGGTTTGCCTGTTCTGGATATTTCATATAAATGGAATCGAAGACTGCATCTTTTCATAATTTTATTCATTTATTTGAGAGGCAGAGCTACAGAGAGGGAGAGACAGAAAGAAAGGTCTTTCATCGACTAGAATTCCATCTAAATGGCTGCAATGGCTGGGGCTGGGCCAGCCTGAAGCCAGGACCTTCTTCTGGGTCTCCCACATGGGTGCAGGGGCCCAAGCACCTGGGTCATCCTCCTCTGCTTTCCCAGGCCATCAGCAGAGACCTGGATCTGAAGAGGAGAAGTGGGGACAAGAACATTAGATGCTGGCACCACAGGCGGAGGCTCAGCCCACTAGCCACAGTGCCCGGCCCAGACTGTGTGCTTTTGGACACAGCACTCACTGGAGCATGGTTCATAATGACCTCAGTAGTAACAGCCATCAGCTGATGAGTGGAAAAACAAAAAGTGGCTTATCTGTGCAGCTGAGTATTGTTCAGCGATAAAAGGAATAAAGTACTGCTACATGTATGCTGATAGGTGCTACATGTATGCTGACAGAGAGAAAGGTCTTCCATCCACGGGTTAATTTCCCAAATGGCCACAACGGATCAGAGGAGGAGCAGCCAGGACTCTAACAGCACCTATATGGGATGCTGGCACCGCAGGCCAGCTTTACCCGCTCCTCCACAGCGCCAGCCCCAGGATATGCTCTTAAGCAACTAATTACATGGCAAGCAAAACATGATTCACGCTTGAAATAGGCATTTGCCTTTCCTTCCTTAGTGGTTGTGCTGTTGGTCATTTTCATTAGCCAAACACAATAGCCAATTATGACAAATGTCCAGTTAGTTAACATCAGGCACCAGGCTTGATTTTGCACAAACCTTGTCAAAAAAGACATTTTCAATCATTCTGATTTCTGCACTTTTGGAAGAAGTGAAGAGGTTTCACTCATTTCTTTACTAATTTACTTCCAAGTCACACCAGTTAGCAAACTGCTTTTAAATGTGTTTAAAAAAAAAAAAAAACTTGTAGAAATAAATACTTTCTACCTACCAAGACACATTCCAGAACTGTCTGAAATTCTGATGTTAGAATCAAAGAGACTGAATCTAACAAAAAAAAACCTATATAGATGGACTTGAATTTGATTAGACATACTCATTGTCATATGGCAACAACAAATTTTATTAAAAGAGGCAGGGTTATCACCCTTAACTCAGTTTCACATCAGAAAATGGAAGATTTTCCTGTAGATTTTTGGTCTATCTCTAGTTTCTTCCAAGTGATCTTTCAAAGAAAGTAGGTGAGAGCAAGCGCATATTTGCGCATATCTTTGCTTCATGGCCGAGTTCCACCTCTGGTTCTGCCAGAAGTTACCGTGGGAAAGTGAAGCGTTAATCTGTCTATCTACACTTCTTGTTTGAGCTGAGAACCAGACCAGCAAGCTCCTATTTCTGACAGAAGTTTCAGTCTGTAGCCATAGGTCTCAACAGCACAGGCTGGAATTACCATCAATGGATTTCCTTATTTTGCATGAAGTCATCAGTGTGAAGGTGGAACTATCAAACGAGACAGAACCCCTGGAATGAGCTTAGCATAGAGAGAACTTTTCTAGAAAGGAGAAAACTATGTTTTCTAGAAAGGAGAATGACACGGAGTGATATGAAATTGATCCACGGCCGGTGAAGCCACCTGGACACCTGCTCTCATCCTTCCTGACTCAGGTTCAGTCTCAGCTACCTTGTTACACTCCCAAATAGCAGCTCCAACTGAAAACATTGGTTAGTAATTTATTTTTTATTATTTTATTTGAAAGGCAGAGTCACAGAGACAGACAGATCTTCCATGCACTGGGTCAATGCCCAAATGCCTGCGACAGTTGGGGCTGGGCCAGGCTGAGGCCAGGAACCCAGAACTCAATCCAGGTCCCCATGTGGGTGGCAGGGACCCAGGTGCTGCCTCCCAGGGTGTGCCTTAGCAAGGAGCTGGATCTGAGTGGGGCCGGGACCTGAGCTCAGGCACTCTGATGTGGCACGTGGGTGACACGAGCAGGGTCTCGACCACTGTGCCAAATCCCACCCCAAGGACTTCCTACTTTCAGACTCCCCTTTGAGTGTCTGTTTTCTCTCTGCTGGGCTCACTTCTGAGATCCCCTTCTAAGGCACAGTTTTATACTCCTCCTCTTGGCCTCTACCGACTGCCTCCCAAATCCTCCCCTGCGTCTGAGAACCTCTGAGCCCCGAAGTCCAGAACTCAGCCTCACTCGTGCCTCCCTGAGGGTCTTCACTCATCCCTCATCTCAAAAGCATGATTTCAATGTACACTACTCTTTCATACACTAATGGGACTTTTAAATATTACAGCCAGAGTGATGAAAGGTATGACAACAGCCCAAGAGTTGAGTGACCTGCAGAAAGAAGCAGGTCGATTTAATTAAAAAAAAAGATTTATTTATTTCTGTATTAATTTGAAAGGCAGAGTTAGAGAGAAAGATCGATCTTCCATCCGCTGTACACTCCCAAAATGGTCCCAATAGCTGGGGCTTGGCCAGGCCAAAGTCAGGAGCCTGGAACTCTGTCTGGGTCTCCCATGAGGGTGTATGAGCCCAAGCACTGGGGACATCTTCCATTGCTCTGCCAGGCCCATCAACAGGGAGCTGGACTGGACAAGGAGCAGCCGGGACTCAAATCAGTGCTCATCCGGGATGCTGGCACCTCAGGCCGCAGCTTGACCTGCTGAGCCACAACTTCATCCCCAGATGCAGGTCTGTGTTTAAGGGAAGTAACTCGGGAAGTAATTCTGCAAGGGAAGACCAGAAAACTAGCAAGGCTGACATGAAAGAATGTGTGCACACCACATTCAACAAAAACCCAAGGATTTACAAGCAGCACACAATTTCTCCATCGGGATCATTCCCTAAACTACAAAGGCAGCGGACAGGACTCGAGGCTCCAGGCACCTCCCTCTGTGCCTCGACTTCTGCAGTCACTTTGCCAACAGGCCCAGAATTGTTCTGTTTCATACAGACCCAGCTGCCCGTACAATTATGCAGCTGTCAAAGAATCTTATCATCACTTCCGGAAAACTCTAAAGCAGAGGGCTCCCCCTCCCCACATCACCCACCCCAAAAGCCAGTAAAGTAGCAAAGTTGCTCTCCAATCATCACTGATTCATAAAAACATCTCGGCCAAAGCATACCCATAAATTAGGGCAGTCATTTCCAAATGAAATGAATTTTAAATGACACATTTGCACACATTAAGAACAAGTTCTTTCAAGTGAAATAACTTCAGGAGTGCAATGATGTAGCTTAGTGAAACATTAGGCTGGGACTCAGAGGAAAAAGGAAATTAGATTTAGTCCCTAACTCATAAGCTTACAGTCTAGCATAAAATACAATATAGGGAGAGGCATAAATGTATAACATTGAAACATAATATATAGATAATAAACAAAATTACTTAAAATTTTCATAAAGGCATTAGAGTTGGAAAGCATTCATTTAAGCACAAAATCAGTCCCAAGCTCAAAAAATAAGTTAATCCTATTTGCATATTATGTGATCATAACATTAAGTTATAATTTTGAGCATGATGTGTAAGTAATAATTAACACCCCAAATGTCAGGTTCCTATGTGGGGAGTGCAGGTTTAACTTGTACTTTACAAGATCTCTGAAGATGTGGTTACAGATCAAAACTCCAAGTAAAAACCCACTTGCCTGTGTGTCTGCAAAACCTCATATCGAGTGTTGCTTCTTTCAAATCATGGGTCTTGGCCCATACACTGAGAAAATCAAGCAGAAAAGTTTAGTTTCAAAGGGAAAGGCCAAAGCTGGGTGATGGGCACGGCAGAAGTCCATTCTCACACGAAGGGGCCAGAGCCACCCTGTGCCAGTTTTCACAGTTAGTAGCAAGGTTGTGTGGTCTGTAGAGGGCTCTGGAGATGCAAGTCCCAGCCTGCCACCTCCAGGCTGTGGAGTCCTAAACAGCCCACCAAACACCCTAAGCCCCAGACTGCTCATCTGCAAAGTGAGAGAGATAGGAGGACTACCTTCAAAGGTCGCCACAAGGTTAAAGAATGTCTAGGGGGCCAGCGCTGTGGCGTAGCAGGTTAAAACCCCAGCATGCAGCACTGGCATTCCATATGGGCGCCGGTTCCTGAGACCTGCTGCTCCACTTCCAATCCAGCTCTCTGCTATGGCCTGGGAAAGCAGTAAAAGATGGCCCAACTCCTTGGGCCCCTGTACCCATGTGAGAGACCTGGAAGAAGCTCCTGGCTCCTGGCTTCAGATCAGCTCAGCTCTGGCAGTTGCAGTCATTTGGGGAGGGAACCAGCGGAATAGAAGACTTTTTTCTCTCTCTCTCTCTCTGTCTCTGTCTCTGTCTCTGTCTCTGTCTCTACCTCTCTCTGTAACTCTTTCAAATAAATAAAATAAATCTTTTTTTTTTTTAAATGTAACTCACCTGGCCCACAGTCTAAGAAGCAGTAGGTGCACAATAACTGATAGCAATTCAAGCAATTTACATGAGCCAAAATGCTTGGGATACAGAGTGAAGGAATCCTTGATAAAAACAAACCAAACCCCACATGGGGCTGAAGTCATTGAATTTCCACTTAATTTCCATTCTGTCAAGAAATAAAACAGGGGCCAGTGCTGTGGTGCAGTGGGTTAACGCCCTGGCCTGAGGCGCTGGCATCCCATATGGATGACAGTTCTAGCCACCTGCTCCACTTCCAATCCAGCTCTCTGCTATGGCCTGGGAAAGCAGTAGAGGATGGCCCAGGTCCTTGGGCCCCTGCTTCCATGTGGGAGACCCAGAAGAAGTTCCTGGATCCTGGCTTCAGATCAGCACAGCTCCGGCTGTTGCAGCCAATTGAGGAGTGAACCATCGGATGGAAGACCTTTCTCTCTCTCTGCCTCTCCTCTCTCTGTGTAACTCTTACTTTCAAATAAAAATAAATAAATCTTTAAAAAAAGGAAAAGAAATGGATTGCAGCCTCTCTCACCAAGTAGAATCTGCCTTAGGCTGCTACATCCATAGCACATGTGGCTGAAAATGAAATTCCTACAATTCCTACAGCCTCTTGCCTCACACCCCCTTCCTGTGAAACCTTGCTTGCCTGCCCTTTGAGGCGTGTACAGGTTGTGAGAAAACATGCACCTCCACATGCGTTCCCTTATGTAACACGGTAAAAGGAAGCTGCCACTGGATTTCACCACGGGCTCATCACTTCTGTCCCTGGGAAAGTGATTTTTTAAATAGGTCAAAACATTCTTTCGTTTGCCAGAACTGATCACGGGTGTTCCTTGGAAGACTGACAAGGGCATCGAGTGTCACCACCCCACCACGTCTGCCCCCAAATCCCCAGGGGGCACTGGCAGCTCTGTCTCAGGATATTCACAACTGAAGAACCTCACTTTTCAAGAGGCTGGAATTTGGGGAGGGTAACATCTGGATGTCTCTGTAGGCAGCAGGAGACACTGAATTCAGGGGAACCCAGGCTAGGAGTCTAAGCTTCTTCTTCAATCAGTCCACACTCTACAAAGGCAAAAGATGGGCTGACCCGTGTGAGACTGAGCCCAGTGAAAGAAGTCCAGAGGAAGAGGTATTCTTCCTTTTACTCTTTCTTACCCAGCTGAAATGCCCACATTTTGAATTCATAAGGCAAGTCCGCTACCCTGGAATTTCACTAACAGGCTTTCTGGTTTCTACAATGGTCTCTGAAAGCAGGCTTCTTTCAGGCTAATGCATTTTCCATCAGAATGCTACTGTCATCACACCCCCTACACAAGTATAGCCATAGCAATTTCAAAGGCAAGTAATATATCCAAGAAGGAAGTATAATAAGAAATTTCTTCTTAAAAGAAATAAAGAGCCTGGATACAGTTCCCTGAAGCATGCTTTGCAATGCTTTACAAAATTCTTAAAGGTATATTGTTTGTTCTAGATGACAAAATTTATTTCTCTTCATCATAGCAGTCTGCTGAAATGGTTCACTAGCTTCTGAAACTTGGGGTTTTAATCATTCTTAAGTTTGAACAGTGCTTCCCTTTTCTCCATATTGATAATGGTGACAGGACCTGAAGTTCTTTTTGAATATTTATTAATTTATTTGAGAGACAGACAAGGTCAGGAGACACACACACACACATACACACACACAGAGAGAGAGAGAGAGAGAGAGAGAGAGAGAGAGAGAATTACTCTCCTATCTGCTGATTCTCTCCTCAAATGCCTTCAGTTGCCAGGTCTGGGACCAGCTGGAGCCAGGAATGCAACCCAGGTCTCCCAGGTGGGTGGTAGGAACCCAGTTACCTGGGCCATCACTGCTGCTTCCCAAGGGCTGCGTTAGCAGAAAGAGCCAGGAATACACCCCTCATACCCTGATACAGAGAATGGGTATCTTCACCACTAGGCTAAACATCCACTCCAAGAAAGGAACTTTTCACACAATCCATTCAACCAACCAACTCACTTATGGAGCAACCATTGCGGGCACCATCTGTTACAGGAATAAACTTCAAAAGTACTTGGTACAAAGCACTGAACAGTTAGACAAGGCCCCTGGTTTCACAGAGTTTACAAGGAAGGTTAGTTCTCATGCAAAGGAAAAATTGCTGAGACGACTATAATATTCTCCTCAAAAACAGCACCTGTCAGTGTCCAAGAGATGTTCTTTTCTGGATCAGGAAAAAGAAGCCACACAACATCCTAATGACAAGGTCTTAAAATCCTGAAAACTCAAACTCCAGTATCAACCTGGAACATGCCCCTTCTGTCTGCGCATTTCACAACCGCTTCTGAAACTATCTTCCACTGCAAACTGTAAGGTTTGCCTTGGGTTTTCTAAAGGAAACGCACAGGAAAGATGCATGAAGAACTTTACAAAGCTTACAGTTGAGGGAGAAGCATTTGTGAACTTAGCCATTCAATAATCACCCATCGCTCTCTCCACGGCAGTACTGACAATACAGAGAACAATCTAGAAATGGAAGATTCCTTATGACAACCTCGCTCTACTCCGCCTAGCTTTCTTTTTTTGAATAACAAAATTTAATGGAAATGACTGCTTGATTATTTCTATATCAATGAATTTTCACTACACATCAATCACTTACTTGCTGAGATGGCAAAAAAATAAATAAATAAATAAAAGGTCGGGGGAGACACCTTAGTGTGAAAGGAGAGCATGAACTCTTCAAGGCAACACCCATCTCACAGCCTATAAAAAGCAAGCCTTCCTGGCTCACCCACACCACCTCCCCCCAGGTGTCACCATGTCACTCTCAGTGCGCACCTCTGCACTGTCCCGGCGGCTCTCTACCCAGAGCGGGGTGGCAGGCAGATCGAGGGGCATGTCCGCTTCCAGTGTGGGAAGTGGCTTTGGCTTTGGGGCCAGCTGTGGGGGAGGCTTCTCCGCTGCTTCCATGTTTGGTCCCAGTGCTGGCTTTGGCGGTGGCTCTGGAAGCTCCTTCGCAGGAGGACTGGGCTCTGGCTATGGGGGGTGCCTGGGAGGTGGCTTTGCAGGGCTCGGGATGGGATTTGGGGGAAGCCCTGGGGGTGGCTCTCTGTATCTCCCCTCTGGCAATGACGGGGGCCTTCTTTCTGGATCTGAGAAAGAAACCATGCAAAATCTTAACGATAGATTAGCTTCCTACCTGGACAAGGTTCGAGCTCTAGAAGATGCTAATGCTGAGCTCGAAAACAAAATTCGGGAGTGGTATGAAGCACGTGGCCACGGGCATGGAGACTGCGGGCCGCAGCATGATTACAGCAAGTATCACCCACTGATCGAAGACCTCAGGAATAAGGTGAGAGCGTGCTTTGGGAGGGGCTTGGGGGATTCTTTCTCTCTTCTACTATTACAATTTTTTACAGTGATGATCACCTACAACTTAGTGGGGTTTTTTGGAGCATTCTTCTCATCTTAGGATGTTTAGTCCCTTTTTATCATCTACCATAAAGTGTATGTCTTTTGCCCTTTTGTAAGAAAAGAAATTTTTTTAACTTTTCAATATTGTTTTATACACATATTTTCTTAGAAAATGAAACTGTCTCAAATTCTTCACATTGAAAACCTAATTGTATAATACTAGCAGCTGAGGACTCAGCTTTGTGTGTCTCCACCTCTTTGACCAGATCATTTCTGCCAGCATTGGAAATGCCCAGCTCATCTTGCAGATCGACAATGCAAGACTGGCCGCCGACGACTTCAGAATGAAGTGAGTGGAACACACCAATGACAGTGAACATGTCCCCAAAACTTCTGCTTCTGTCCCATTTTCCTGCTTTCCTTGAGTGAATATTTTAAAATTTCTGAAGTTCACATGCTCCCTACATGCAGGGTTTATTTATACTAGACTTTCTAGAGAATCAAGTACAATTCCCATCACCTACAAGTTGCTTAGACCTGGGGTCACAGAGCCCCGTGGTGGTCACGTGCTGTCATCAGAAGATGCAATGCAATTCCCCCAGGGTCCTAAACCTATTGTCAATGAATCAAAATGAATGGATCAAAACGTTCAGAGAGTTGTGTTGATTCCCTAAACCGTGTTGCACTTGTTCCTCAGGTTCGAGAATGAGGCTGCCCTGCGCCAGACGGTGGAGGCCGACATCAACGGGCTGCGCAGGGTGCTGGATGAGCTGACCCTGGCCAGAGCCGACCTGGAGGCGCAGATCGAGAGCCTGACTGAAGAGCTGGCCTACATGAAGAAGAACCACGAGGAGGTCAGAAGTTGCCTTCCTCTCCCACACTCAAAACCCTACAGTTTCAAATGTCCAAGTCTAGAGCTAGATACAGAGGATACATTATCTCCCTGGTTAAAATGGTCATTTGTTTTGGATTTCTGTGTGTGTGTATGTGTGTGTGCGTGGTTTTCTCTCTGTGTCTCTCTATTTCTCTCTCTCTCTCTGTGGTTTTCTGTGTGCAGTTTTCTCTCTATGTGTGTGCTAGATTTTCTTCTGTTTGTATGGGGGGTGTTTTCTCTGTATGTGTGTGTGTATATAACAAATTAGGAGCCCTTTGTGATTTTGTCACTTTCATCATGGGGTTACAACAATGAGAATATTCATTGTCCTGGTTTAGGATTTTTTTTTAATATAATATTTTTAAAGTTAAAAACAGACGTGTGGCAGTGACACAGGAAGTTGTACGTGTGTGAGATGCCACTTCTACCCAGTGTTCCCCACACACAGAACTGATGTGCCACAGTGTACATCCCAGGCAGGTATGTAGGATGCACACTGCAATCAGTTTCCACGGTTTTCAGTGACAGTGCGCATGCCCAGGCGCTGTGTGCAGCCCTGCATTTGGCTGAGGTAGCTGAAATCTCCCAGTTACTACACCAGGCCTCCCCTCCCTGCAAAGGCCATAGACCCCAGCAGCAGAACCAATGCATCTGTCAGACATGCAGGCACAGCACCTAGGGCCTGTAGCAACTGTAGAGGCCAAGAAAACGCCCTAAGCCCTTTTGAAATCAGAAGAAAAAAATGTGCAATTTTAGGTTTAAAAAGTTTTACTATATTGTATTCAATACATTTTGGTATGTGTCCATACCAAAGCAGTCAAAAACATATTTTTTTATTTGAAAGTCAAGGTTACAGAGAGAAGAAAGATACAGAAAGAAAGAGAAATCTTCTATCCACTGGTGCACTCCCCAAATGGCCACAGCAGGCCAAGGCTGGACCAGGCCAAAGCCAGGAGCCTGGAACTTCTTCCAGGTCTCCACATGGGTGCTGAGGCCCAAGTATTTGGACCATCATCCGCTGCTTTCCTAGGCACATTAGCAGGGAGCTGGATTAGAAGTGGAGCAGCTGGGACTCGAACCAGCCCCATATGGGATGCTGGAGGGCACCACAGGCAGCCTAATCCGCTATGCCACAAGGCTGGCATGCAAAACTACTTTTAGTGTTTATTTATGGAGGAGGAGGCCCACCAAGGCAAAAGCTAACAGGATCACGAAAGTCATCATGGGCCCCTCTCCCTCACCTGCTATCCCCAGGAGCTACAAAGCTGTAGGGCAGGTGGCCCAGGTGAGGTCAGCGTGGAAATGGACGCCGCACCAGGAGTGGACCTCACCAGGCTCCTCAACGACATGAGGGCGCAGTACGAAGCCATCGCCGAGCAGAACCGGAAGGACGCGGAAGCCTGGTTCATTGAAAAGGTAACACAAACTAAAGCAAGAGGCTGCCAAACACTCACAGAATGACTTGACCTGCTAGCTAGCGGCCTCACTCGCGCCCCCTTGGCCCTCTGTGCCTCTGCAGAGCGGGGAGCTCAGGAAGGAGATCAGCACCAACACGGAGCAGCTTCAGTCCAGCAAGAGCGAGGTCACCGACCTGCGGCGCGCACTTCAGAACCTGGAGATCGAGCTCCAGTCCCAGCTTGCTATGGTATGCTCGCACCACTGAGCACACATCACTCCAACCTCCGAAGGAAACTCTGTATCCAAATCGTGCCCTCCTCTTTCCAGTCCCCCCCTCCCCATCCTTACCACTGTATGGTTTCCTTCCTACTGCAGAAGAAATCCCTGGAGGACTCCTTGGCCGAAACTGAAGGCGACTACTGCGGCCAGCTGTCCCAGGTGCAGCAGCTCGTCGGTGACCTGGAGGCACAGCTGCAACAGGTGCGCTCCGACACCGAGCGCCAGAACATGGACTACCAGCGGCTGCTGAACGTCAAGGCCCGCCTGGAGCTGGAGATAGAGACCTACCGCCGCCTGCTGGATGGGGAGGCCCAAGGGTGAATAACGGGTGATGCTGGACAGGGGGACACAAGATGCCAATTTTGGGGGGCAATAAAGGAAGGGTCCTTTAATGAGAAGAAAACAACAAACCTAGTAAAGATGCACCTGGCATTTACCAAATACTCATGCGATGTGCTCTCACTAATCATCTTACTAACAATAAAGCTGCCATGAACAAAGGCCCTGGAGACAGAGGCATATGGTAAACACGCAATTCCATGTACTGGAAAAATCACCCATTCAATTTCTGATATCGATGACCAGTGCTAAGAACGCCACCTCAAACAGTAGCCACCCGAATCACCTCAGACCCACTGCAGCAGATTCTCCTAAAGTAATAGTAGTCTGCCCTGGGCGGAAGAACTCAGATCGTAAACGGGGAGACTGCATGCCTGGGAGCAGATCTCCCACCAGTTGCCAGGCGCTTTACTCTGAGAGCCTGCATTACACAGGATTTGAAAGCTAAGGGGCATTGCACCCATTGACATTCCCAGGGCACAGCATCTAAGCCTCTGAAACAGGACATCTGGAATGCTTTACTTGGTCATAGTTCTGTGTACCTTTCTAATCCGAGGCTCACCTGGCGAATTTTCCCAATTTATTCTTATTCTAGCATGCACTACTGGACCTCACCTGTCCTGTTTTCTTTACAGTGATGGCTTGGATGAGAGTTCGGCTATGACAGGCTCCAGGTCTCAAGCACAGTCAATTGATTCCTCTAAAGGTATGCAGTTAAGAATCGCTCAAGTGAGACTCACATGCATCAGTGATTAACATTGTAAGATATCACTGAACAGCACAGCATAATTTAAATTTAAAGTAAATTTATATTTTGAGTCAAGGTAAAACATTCACGTTTATCTGCAGCAAACTGGGCAGTGTGTTCTGTAGTGACACTGTTGGCAAGCCCAGCAGAGGCAGAAACCTACTCTACAAGCAGGAATCATGAGCTACATAGCCACTCTGAATGCAGAAAAAGACAAATGTTTTCATGTATGCATGAGAAAGATAACAGTGAATGCATCATTGTCACTGGATAAAACCTTTTTTGTTTATAATGTAAAAGTCACTTTTGAGAGTTTAAATGTGATGGATTGTGTCAGCCAATCTGTTACGTAGAAGCTTAAAGAAGAACTAATTTTGGATAAATACTTGAAACACTAATTTTTGCCCTCCTTCATCCATTTTTATCTTTAGACCCATCCAAAACCCGAAAAATCAAGACAATCGTGCAGGAGGTGGTGAATGGTGAGGTGGTATCATCCCAAGTTCAGGAAATACAAGAACTAATGTAAAACTTCACAAGATCTGCTGACGGTCATTGTCTTAGGAATGAGAAATTTAAAAAGAGAAATTGTTCTTTTAAGACAGTATTTTAGTTCAGTCACTATTTTTATCTGTTTTATTTCCTTTTGATTCCCTATTCACACTGAGTCCTTTTTGCTCCTGGGAAACAACATCCAATTCTAAGTCATCGTGGTCATCTTGGCCTTTATAACAAACCAAAATTACTTCTTTCTGAACTTGGTGTAGTCTTCAAGGGACTTTCTTCTGGTGGCCTGGAAATAGATTTTTAATCATAGAGCTTTGATTAAGTAGTACTGTTTTAAAATCACCAATTTTAATAAAAGAGGAATGGTAATAATATGAAATGTTTGCCTTCTTGATTCTAACAACAAAGCCAAGGGCATAAAGACAGACCTCAAAGTCATGTTCACAAACACTGGGACAAAGATGTCAGGCCAGGGGTTGGGTAAATTTTCTCCGAGGTCTCCTGTCCTTTCTATGTCAGCCCATCAAGGTTGCAGCAAAATTACATTGTCCCCATTAGGGGCCAACGGCTGTCCCATTCATGTTCTAGCTTCTTTCACAGTAAGGAGACTCACCGGGCCCCTACAGTGTACAAAGTTGGAGATAACTCAGTGATACATAAGATGTGGTCCTGGCTCTGAGGAGCTCCCAGGAAGGGCGATGCAGGGAGACAGGTCAAACAGAGGTTTCAAGGACAGCTGGAGGAAAAAGTGAATGTTAACAGGAGCAAGTGAATGTCCATACAGAAAGCAACCAGGCAGAGGAGGGAGAACGGGGACAGGGCAAGTTCACGTAAAGACAGGGATGTGAACAAACAGCACCTGTCCTCCTTTCTCCCTCTGGCAGCAGGGAGACCCAGGGTCAGGTTTCCATGAGGATGCGCCAGATCCAGAAGTCAATGGGGTGAGGCAGAAGGCAGTCAAGGTCTAACTCTGGGCAGATGGTGTTTCAATCCAAGCTGACATATTCAGAACCCCAAAAGGAAAACAAGAGCAGGATTTACCCATTAAGAGATTGGGCTCTGAAGCCAGACTGGCCTCAGATCCTGGCTTTACTACTTAACAGCAAGTAAAATAACCTCTGCGCACCTCAGTTTCCTGATCTTTAAAGTGGACATGATAGTGATAATAGTATGTGCTTCATGAGGTGGGTTTTGTGAAAAATAAGTCAGGCAAAAGGGGCAGGCATTTGGCCTAAGGTTAAGATGCTGCTTGGGATAACCGTCTCATACATGGGAGGCCTGGGTTCGAGTCCTGGTTCTGTATTCTGATTCCATTTTCCTGCTAACATGCACCCTGGGAGGCAACAGGTGATGACCCAAGTATTTGGTTCCCTGTCACCCACGTGAGAGACCCAGATTGAGTTTCTGGCTCCCAGTTTTGGTTTGACCAAGCCCTAGCTACATAAGCATCTGGGAGTGAATCAGTGGATAGGAACTTTCTGTCTGTCTGTCTCTCTTCCTTTCAAACAATATTTTAAAATAATAATAAACAAACAAAGTAATATACATAAAGTATTAAGACCCTGAAAAGAGCTGGCACCTAGAAAGTAGTCAAGATTCATTATGAGGACATACATTATGGCGTAGCTGGTAAAGCTACTACATGTGATGCCAGCATCCCACATGGGTACCAGTTTGAGACCCAGCTGCCCCACTTCTGATCCAGCTCC